CATAAAATACCCCCTTTGAAAGTTTGGTTATGTTGTTATCTGACATGTCTCTGGTAAAAGAAAACATAGGCTTTAAACTTTTGACTAGCCGCCTAGTTTTTGAGATCATTGGGCTCAGTCTCCTGCGAGACTATTCTTCTATTCGCCTAGCTTGTGAACATGGCTCTCTATATTCATCTAACAAGTATACATATTCATGTAAGCTATTTTTTTCATTCGTTCCTTTCTTCATCTTATCCTCTTAAATTGTCATGACTTCACTGGGTTTTTTTTTCCCATGAATCTATTAGTTTATTTTTAGTTCATTAGCTTGTTCTACACGGTAATTTAGAACCTATACATATTGTGGTTCAAATATACTGTACATTTTTAATGCAACTATTTATGAGTGTCTAGAATACAGCATATAACGTGATGCTTACAACGTGTATGTATTAGTTGGGAATCTACATGGAATTGATGATATTTTACTGCACTTCACAGTAAACCGCTAACATGTGCACCTGGCTGGGCATGCTTAAAAATYAAAGATTGATATGAGTTAGAAGTATGTTTTTTTGTTCTTTTATTTTATAATATACAAAAGTAAGAAATATACGATAATATTATATAATATTTCCCCAAGTCAGACGACCAAGTGCCATTCCCTTGAGTACCATTTTTTTGATTACAGATAAAAATTTCTTTTGTTCTCTATTTCTGTTATATAAAAATAATAAGTAATATATACATTTCTATATATATACAATGATTTCGCCACTCTGTATGTAGAACTTAGTGCTTTTAACTGACGATGAAAGTAGAAACTGCTCGAAACGTCTTGTTTAAATTCAAAAATGTTTTTTCTCTTGAAATAACATTCAAAAATGCAAATGATTATTGATGTGATCCTGGGAGGTGTGAGATGGATCTCGCTCTCTCTTACCCCCCTGTGTGACCCAATAAGATTCGTGCTGTGAAGTGAAAGACACTTGGTCTGAAATGGGGAAAATTTCTTGCCCAATCCGAAACTGTTTATTGCGGAATATTATTATAAATATTATATGAATATTTGGAAGGCCTTCGAAGATTATATACCTTCCAAATGACACGTGGTCTGAAATGGAAAATCATGAGGCCCGACCAAAAAGGAAAAAAAAAAATGATTATTTGTATTCCCTCAAATAACTTCTGTGAATAAGAAAGTCAGGGCAAGACGCCATAGGCCTATTCTGAGTTCAAAAAGCAATAGGTACATTATGGTCTAGTTTTAGTACAAACAACGCCATATAAGGCATGATGAACAAAAGATGTACTGAAGCTAGATCACAATGAAACCAGTTTGTTATCTCAGAAAAGGTCCATTCTAGCCGTGCAATTTTAAGGAATCCACATAACTACTTTGAGGAAATAACAGAGAGTTTATGTTCCCCAAATGGAAGAAATAGAATATCCTCATAAATTGTCCTTTTGTTAGTCAAGGTGCAGCCATATTGTTTATTACTGTATATAGGTTTTTAGATCACATGCAGCTTTGCCGGGAAAAAAACGTCATGTAAAAGTAACTTCAGGTGGGGGCTGCGTGAATGCACGATATAGTCTTTTGATATTACTCGTACTATACTACACGAATTCGATCTCAAAATTGCATGCAGTAAGAAAGTACAGTATTTTAAAATTATTTTCTCTAAGGCATAACATACTCGATTTATATATCAGATTACTTATTTGCGTGCATAGCAATAATGAAAATGTCAAATACAAACGCCAG